TTAAATTTCGATTTGCAAGGATTGAAGTGGTTTATGATTGTGTCAGCGCGACCAAAAGTGTTGTTGTTCCGACTTTTATAACGAAAGTAACGGATTATTTGGGCTCGGAGTGTTTTTTTTCTTCAGACAAATTTCGACCTTTTGACTAGCCATTTTTGACAAAATTGTTTTATATCGATCAAAAAATATTGTTGTCTTGAGCTTAAATTTGAATTAAAATTTTTATTACATGTGATCTTTTTGTGGGGGTTTGAAAAGTGCCATTTTGGGAAGTTTGGGACACTTAACGCGCGATTTTGTTTGCGCTATTAACGCGTAAGCGGAGATTTAATCCGTCTTATAAATCGTTCCAAATTGGTTCAACGAAGCTTAATTGCCATAATTGATTTGTGACAAGGAACGAAATTTCTGTTTTTGTACTTTATATGGCGTGTGGGGGGATGATTTTCAAAAAAAATTTTCAAATTTTAGAAAAAAAATTTTAATTGTATTTTATTTCATTTAATTTTTTTATGCTATTGCTGCTGCCCCATAAACCTTACAAGGCAGTCGGAACACTCAGGGCTTCGCCCTGATACGAGCAGTCTTGTTCAAACTTCGTTTTTGCCTTTTCGAAATTATTATGATCAGTTAACGCAAGTGGCGTGCGCAAAAAATTTTCTAGGGGCGGGCGGTTTTTCGAAAAACTTTGAAAGTTTTGTCGATTTTTTTTTGGTCGACCAATTGAGCTTTCCAAAAATGCTATTAAGACACTATTTTGTTTAAATTTTCTGCACCGCAGTCAAGTTTTTCTAAAAACAAACCAAAAAGCGGGCCTTTTTGAAATGTTTTGACCAAAAAATTGCTTTTTTTTGGCGCGCGCTACCATCTCAAAATTGGTTAAATTGGACTTAAACATTTTTTTGAGGTTGGTCAGCCAAAAATGGTTGTCTTTAAGTCATACCAAAAAGGATACTCTATTGATGAAAAAATTTGGCAACCAGAATTGAAGAAAACCCCGTCCCACCCCCTACTCGGCACGCTACTGATTAACGCCTTGGTGATAACTGATCCAACGTGGGTTTGATTCATACGATTCGTACAAGCAGAGACTGTCTTCAAGGTCTTTGAGAAAATGAATAAGGTGGATTTTAAAAAATTAACAAAAAAGAGTAATACTTTCAAAAAGTCCTTTCGCGCATTAGATAGATGTAGATTTTCAGTGTTGCTTAAAAAAGTTGAACAATCTAAATAATTGCCAGGGTTGATAATGTCTTCATTTTAAAAATCTTCAAAGTTGCTTGGTTTATTTTAGGTAGAGATTCGGATGCGATCCTACTTTATTGAACTTAAGATTTTTTCGCCGCCATTTATACTCCACTGTCGTATAAATTATCCTTTTCTCCTTGCTTTTTTTCTTTATATCCTTGCTTTTCCTTCCTTAAGGCTTCGATCTGATTCTTTTTTTAAATTTCGATTTGCAAGGATTGAAGTGGTTTATGATTGTGTCAGCGCGACCAAAAGTGTTGTTGTTCCGACTTTTATAACGAAAGTAACGGATTATTTGGGCTCGGAGTGTTTTTTTTCTTCAGACAAATTTCGACCTTTTGACTAGCCATTTTTGACAAAATTGTTTTATATCGATCAAAAAATATTGTTGTCTTGAGCTTAAATTTGAATTAAAATTTTTATTACATGTGATCTTTTTGTGGGGGTTTGAAAAGTGCCATTTTGGGAAGTTTGGGACACTTAACGCGCGATTTTGTTTGCGCTATTAACGCGTAAGCGGAGATTTGATCCGTCTTAGAACTCGTTCCAAATTGGTTGAAGGAAATTTATTTGCCATAAATGATTTGTTACTAGGATGAAAAACTATCACTTTTTTTTAATGGTATGTCATGGGATAGTTTTCAAAAAGCTATCAAAATGAAAAAAAAATGTTTTAATTAATTACATTTTTTTTCATGTTATTACTGGTCCATAGAACTCAAAAGGCAGTCGGAACATTCAGTGCTTCGCGCTGATACGAGCAGTCTTATTTTAATTTAACTCCTATGCTTTTTTTTCTGTAGCTCCTTTCCAGTCTTCTGTAATGCTCATAACTTTCAAAGCTCCAAACTTTCACAGTTCAGGTTTATCATCGGGCAATTCTAGATTTACAGAGTTGTTACGGAGTTCAGAAAACAATTTTCTTTGATTTTTAAAAAAAGGCTAGATTTGCTTTTTTTTATTTGAATTACATCCCTGATTTTTCTAAGATTAACCATTGGGTAGTGATGTAGATAACCGAGATGTAGTTTTAGTTTTACATTCACAACAAAAAGGTCTAGCAGTGATAATAAAAATTGATATCATAGATTCATTTTTTTATTTTCATTTTTTCTCTATTGAGATTTGACCTAAAGCCTTTTGTACCATTTCAATTCATGACATAAGTGTTTTTTGATAACATTACAGCACTTGATAGTATTGTGGTATTGTTGTCCCGGAATGTGAAGAAAGTGCGGAATATTTTTGCTGGGTGTGGTTTTTTTATTCAGTCAATTTTTGACTTTCAAACTCAGCGTTTTTGACCAAATGATTTTATATCATTTGAAAAATATTGTAATCTTAAGCTCAAAATTAAAAAAAAAGATTTTACACCTGTGATCATGTTTTGTTAAGTTACGGGCATTTAAACATTACTAATTTGGCCAACTTGGGATAACTAAATTGCGAGTTTTGCGTGCTTATTTTATGCGTAAGAAGCGAATTAAGGCATTCCAAAATGACTTAAAGCCATCAACTCAACTCTGTTATCACATTACGAGACACTAAACACTCGTGTGGGGTGATAAAATGAAAAATGAAAGAAAAAATTATTTCTTGTCAATTGGTTTATCAATTTTTCAACCAAAAAAGAATTTTTCAATTGGCGTTAAGTGCAGCCGGAACATTCAGGATTTTGCCCGATAAGGCAACACAACTTTTTGCAAACAACACACAATGTAAACAAGAGTGCTCGTATCTCAGGTCAATACTCTGAAAGTTCCGACTGTTCCTTAATTCATTGATCGAATTGATTTTTGGAAAAAAAGAAAAACTGAAAGATTTGGACAATATCAAAGATCGGGTGTGAAAATTTTAGCCGTACGAAATAACACGACATATTAGTTAGTTCCATTCACTTTGGAACAATTTTATTGCGCGGGATAACTCGGTACGCATACATATTTCGCGTTTGGTGTTCATGATTATGGATAAAATGATCAAATTGCGAATAAATTAGCCCAAAGCATGGCCAAATTGGCAAGACTTTTTCAAACTACAAAAACTTTGCAAAAAAAATTGGTGGTAAATTATCTTTTTTGATCATAAACTGCAAACTTTAGAGCAATGGAAACTCATGTCTTCTCGTTTTTTAAACTTAAATCTATGTTATCAATGTAAATTCTAAGCATGCCAATGAAAAATGAAGAAAAATACAAAAATTTAGAGGAACAGGCTAGCAGTAATTTGACTTGATTGATTTCATACTTATTGTGATATATTTCAATGTATTCGAAAAATTTCCCTAACTTAAATTAGAAGTCAGTACAAAATACCCTATAATTCAGAGGAGGACAACTAGAGTCCCAAAACTAATTGTATCATGGAAAAGACTGCTCGTATATCAGTGCCCTAAATGTTCCGACTGCCCCTTAATCCATATCAAACCTTTTTTGAGAATATGAAAGATCAAGTGTAAAAATTTGAGTCGTACGAAGTTATTACGACAGATTAGCTAGCCCCAATTCAATATGGAACAACTTTGTAGTGCGAGATAATTCCCCACGCATACATAAATTGCGTTACGCTTTCAGGATGCGTGAAATCTACAAAGCGCGAATAAATTAGTCCAGAGCATGGCCAAATTTTCAATTTCAAACTTCCAAAATGTTGCAAAAAGTCGGTTTCTTTAAAGGAGCATAAAAAATTTTCGGTAAAAACTATTATATCGGTCTCCGAATTTTGGTCGGCCACACCAAGCACAAATATGCGGTTTTCATCAAAAGTCGGAACAAAAATAACGAAAGCGAGAACCAGAACCTCAACTTCGAAATCTAGTCTGAAATGCATTGGCGAGTATCGACCGCTTGCTGCGTTTACAATCGACACCAGTGGTAAATTTTGTGTCAACCAGTGTTTGTCGCTAATTAGACTGTAGTTTGAAAGGCTTTTTGTTAATGATTTGACTATAGTTGCAATTTACCGCTTTCCTTAAAAATTGCAATAATTTGTCCATTTGTTTGATCTGTCTCAGTGTGTTGTTTGAAGTCCTGTATATCTAAGGAAAGCTACATTTTTCAAGGAAACTGACAAATCCCAAACTCGAGGAAAACTAAAAACTCCAAAAGCTTAAAAATTACCTTAAAACGCATTAGTCACTAGTGCTATTTCGTCACTAGTGCTATAATTCGCGTGAAACAGTTTTTGCCGCTTACTAGTTTGTACTTAGGTAGGTCGAATTTGGGTCGCTCACTAGTTTGTAAACAGTAGGTCGAATTTGGAGTTTTCCATTTTACGTTGGCTCGGGCACAGGGTTCTTCTAAAGATTCGATAAAATTCAGTTCAGTTCGCAAGTTCTCCCACATCTCATCTGAATTATTAATGATTGTCAAGCCTAAGTATTTAACTTTTTCAGTTTTATTTACCTTGATTATTTTTCAAGTTGGTTTTTCAACGAAAAAAATTATTAGAAACTAAAAACAAATGGAAGGCAAAATTACTTTATGTTAATTATGGAAGGCTGAACGTTGTCAGGTTTACAGTTTCAATGTTTTCAGGAAGCTTATCAATTTAATTTTCTAAATACATGAGTGTTTGAAAGCGAAGAGTGAAAAGTTTATGACTGGCTGCGACCGTGGCTTTGGTAATTTCAGACATTGCAATGCAGTTTTATTATGCAACTAAAAATAAATTGACATTAGAATTGAAAGTAATTGAAACTTTTAAGGAAACATTTTACACTCTTACTACGTTTCTATAATGAGTTCTTGTAGAATATTTAGGCCAAGTCGACGACGACGCAGTCAAGCTAGATACATCCTAGACTTGATCCTAAAAAATGAGCAATTCCAGGAATTCCAACCAGTCGACTTCCAGTTCGAGAAAGCAGACGGATACTCAGAAATTCCACAGCTCCGATGTATCATCACCTTCTTCGTCATCATCTTCATCACATGGATTCTCAGGCAGTGCAAGAATGACCACTCCTATCATTGTAGAAGACAGGGTGAGTCATTTGAGGACATTTTGCACAGCAGATGGAGCGAATGGCCGAAAATTTCAACCAATCAACGCCCTTTTATCTGTCCATAAGTGGCTGATTTTAACCCTTAATCCTTCGGATTTTTTTTCGTACTAAATTATGATTGGCTAACTTATTTTCGGGCAATCGTTCTTCCGCCTGCTTTTTTAACAAGTTTGTTGTCTCGCTTGAACCCGAAAAACATTTTTTTGGACACAAAATTTTTTGCAGGCTGCAATATGATTGACATTGTATCAAGGTTTTGAATTAAGAGAAACTCACAATTTTTGGGGGGTGATATAAATTTGATCCTGAGAAGTACTTTCATTACAGCTTGTATCAAAACTGAAAGGGTTTAATATGCTATAATGGTAGCTACTTCAGTGAAATGGCATATCCAGGGGTTGGTAAAAGTCATTTGGTAGACAAAAAGTCAATTACTTGAAAAGATTGTCAATTAATTGAAATGTTTGCTCAAGCTTTGTCAATCATCAATTAATTGCAATTAATTGGGTCTCATTCATAGCTTTAGCAACGTCAGTTTTCGACCAAAATTGATTGTTAACATTCAGGAACAGCTTCATTTCAAGGTTCATCGGCAAAATACTCTGTCGTAAGTCACCAAAAGCAAATCCCGCTTTGCTGAAAAACCTTTCTGCCATGTTTGAAGTTGGCCTCAAATATCGTACATCTTGATAAACACTGTCCGCTGATTTCTTTGTACACTTTAAATCAATAATAGCTTTACATTTCAAAGACAAAATCATATAAATTTCAAAGTTTGCAAACCTTCAATTAATTGCAATTAATTGGCGGATTTTGTCAATAGTCAAAAATTGGATAAACAAAGAAGTCAATTAATTGCATCCAATTAATTGCAATTAATTGGTCATCAATTGACTTTTACCAAGCCCTGGGCATATCATAACTTTTGTTGGTGATTTTTCCTAACTGAACTAGAATTGATCTTTCTTATTCGGTTCAAACTGAAAGACCAATAAGCTGGTGAAACATCAATAAGCTGGTGAAAGACCAATAAGCAATGTTAAAATTAGCTGGTGAAACATGACCTTTAGTCATTGGTTCGAACAATTTTGTGCGGGTGATTTACCATATATATTTGATCTGAATTGCTACTGGAACTATCACTCAAATCTCATTATTTCACTCCTTATTATTTAACGTTTGTCACTGCAATAACCTTGATAGGTTATGGGCCCAGATGCCCAAGCACGAGTGAGAAGTCAGGAGTCAAGATTGACTGTTTGTTCAAACGAATAAGGAAAAAAGCTGAGATTTGCAGTGGAGTTGTGACAGGTGAAAGTCACAACTTAAAATATACAACTGATCAGTTAGAGAACTGTGAGAATAGAAGCAGGCCAAAACTACTTGGAGATAGACGATTGATTAGACAGAGAAGTGCAAAGAAAGAAGAAGGGCAATAGAACTAGTAGAGACAGGCAACTTTGATGACAGAAGCAGGGCAACACAACTTCTAGAGATAGACAACTCTGACGATAGAAGCAGGGAAACACAACAGAGAAGAAGAGAAGACGGTCAAAAACTACACGAAGGGGCACTGAGTGAGCACAGCAGTGGAAGAAGCACTACACTTTTGATAGTGAAAGAAAATTGAAACAAACTGATAAATTAAATGTTTTATTTGTAAAAGTTGCTGAATTATACTCAATTTTTGCGGAAGGATAAATTCGTTCGTACGCGGTTGCTCGAATCCGACCCAAAATCAATCCAAAGAATACATTGCCATTAAAAAAAAAGAAACTGATACCCCAGAATAAAAAGACGAACTTCTATTTTGCTAATATATCATTTGCCTAGTATGAAATCTGAGGAGGGACCTTGGCTTTGCTATTTTGCTGATGTGTTATTCGGTACGGACTCCGTTAGTTTCCAAATCAGATTTAGGTAATCAAATATACTTGCATAGTTATATAAGCGGGCGATATTGATTTTCGTAATATATGATTTTTATGTAGGAGAAAACGGGGTCATTGAACTTTACCTAGGGCAATACTTAACTTTTTGAGTTTTGGATTGGAGCTTAACTTTTGTGTGAGAATTAAGTCGAAAACACGAACTTGGATTAGGAAAGAAATGTCAAAAACTGATAGGACAGTTTTTTCGGGAAAAGAAGAAGATTTTTCCTACTTTGAAGAGCAATTCGAGGCACGAATTTTTCACTTGAAGTAAAACAAGATTTTAGATGAAAAAGTTGATTATAGAAATTTTATGCCAAGTTTAAGACCGAATGCAAGCAGTGATCAAAAACAAGCTGCGATAGATAAAGGAAAGAGATTTTTGAAGAAAAACAGTTGCATATCTGGTACAAACTTGTGCAGGCTCTAGATAAGAAATCAGTTTTGTTTTAAGACCCTATAAAGGCAATGGTAGCAAAGCTTGGGATGTTTTACGGAAAAGGTTTAAAATTTTTGAAAGACCCAGGCTGCAAAAACTAATCTCCGAACTTACAAATTTGAAAAAGAATGGCAATGAAACAGTGATAGATTATTTGACTAGAGCAGAAGAGATTCAGTATAACTTAGAACAAGTGAACGAAGCGAAGGAGTGATTGAAAAAAGGTTAATTTCAACTATTTTGAAAAAACTTCCAAAACAATTTGAAACTTTTTCTACTATAGCTGAGTTTAGTAGAGATAAGAAAAGTTTAGATGAGTTGAATAGAGGTTTAGTGAATTTTGATAGCGAGAGACAAGTAATTGAAAAAAAGCATGCTTTTAATAGCGAGAATAGAGTTTGTTTCGAGTGTCATAAAAGAGGACATGTGTCGAAACAGTGCAGAGAAAACTTAAGCAGCAGACAAGATAGTTAAGACAGAGCTCGAAAAAATTAGTGCTATGAGTGCAAGGAGTTTGGACATATTGCAAAATATTGCCAGGCAAAGAAAAGGTTCATTAGTAAGACTAAACGAGAACAGCAGAACCGAATAGCTGAAATAGAGGCTCATTTTAGTTTCCTGAGTGGAGTGTCTCCGGGCAAGGACTAAGTTGTAGACTCTGGAGCTACCAGTAATATGATTAAGGATCGAGACATATTTGTTAGTTTAGATGAGAACTTCAATGGATCGGTTAGCAATGCACATTTCTCCGAATCAAAAATTTCAGGGAAAGGTGAACTAGATTCAGAGTGAAAGATGAGAAAGGCGAGTTTAAGATGATTTTGCTGAAGGATACTTTGTACGTTCCTGAAAACTCAAGAAATTTGCTGAGTGTATCAAAAATAAAGAAAGCAGGAGCAGAAGTTGTTTTTGGTGCGAGCTCGTTTGTTTGCCAGGGAAATGGATCAGTTTACCCATTAAGAGAGGAAAGTGGTCTCTTATTATGGGACACTTTTGTAGGAAAAGACGAGTGTTATCTAGTAAGCACTTTGAAACAGTGGCATTGCAGGATGGGTAATAATAACTACAAAGATTTAAGTCATTTGGAGCAACATGTTGAAGGCATGAAGATAAAAGATTTTAAAATTGAGAATTGTGAAACTTGTGAGTTGAATAAAGCAAAAAAGAAGCCAGTCCCGAAAGATTCTTATACCAGGGCAACCAGGACAATAGATATTGTTCACACAAGTGTTTTAAGTCCTATCGACCCGATAGCAGAGGATGGACATAGATATGCTATAGGTTTTTTGGGCAGTTTTTCTAGATATCTGAAAATTTATTTCATGAAGACGAGAGATGAGGCAACGGAAAAGTTGGAAAGGTTCATAGCAGACATAGGAGTCCCTCAGACTTTAGTTTCAGACGGCGCAGGAGATTACATTGGTCAGGATTTTAGGCGAGTTTGTAGGAAACAAAAAATAAGACTGCAAACATCGGCTCCTTATACCCCTCAAGAGAAAGAAAAGATAGAAATGGTGTGGGGAACAATTACTCCCCTAGCTCGCTGCATAAATTTTGATGCGAATTTATTGAAAACTTATTGGCCTTATGCTCCTAATATGGCTACTAATCTCAAAAATATGTGCTTTCATTCTGCTATAGGCAAAACACCCTACGAGTCTATGTATGGAGAAAAACCCAACCTTAACTTTGTTAAAACTTTTGGGTGTGTAGCGTATAGTTTTTATGGAAAAACAGTTTCTCAAAAAACTAGGCAAAAACTCTAAAAGGGGAATTTTCCTGGGGACATTGAAAAATAGTAATGCTTATTTGATAGGAATTGAGACTGAAGGAAAACTCAAAGTGCAAAAGTCTAGAAACGTTAGTTTTGACGAATCTAAGTTCTACTTTGAGAAAAAGATAGAAAGTGACGTAGGAGAAAAAGTAGGTGATGTAGTGTTTTTTGGAGAAGTTCTCGAAAATATACCGAAAAGTGCTAAAGAAGCTTTAGCAGACCCTGACTGGCAAGAAGCAATGAAAAAAAAGTTTGATTCATTAGAGAAAAACAAAGTTTGGGAACTAGTTAGAAATAGAGGAGAGAAGCCCATAGGCAGCAGATGGCATTTTGCTTTGAAGTATGGACCTAACGGTGAAATTTCCAGGTTCAAGGCTAGGTTTGTTGCTAAAGGTTTTAGCCAAGTTGAGGGAAGAAATTTTCACGAAACGTATTCGCCTACAGCCAAGATGTCGACAATAAGAACAGTCCTGAGCTTAGCAGTTCAAAATAGGTATCAGTTGAGACAGTTAGACATTAAAACTGCATACTTGAATGCCAAAATAAATCAATGAGTTTAACAGACGAAATGAAGTCGATGGAAGATGGAAACCGTTAATTAAAGATACGATTAGAAGAATTGGAAGCTTCAAATGCAAAGCTCGAGGGGTTGCATAGTGAGTTGAAAGTCTGAAACATGAGCTGTTGTTGATACAGAAAAAAAAACAATCAGCTAAAGAAAAGTCTTTATGAACTGAAGCAGTCCGGTAGAAGTTGGCATAGGACTCTAAAAAGCTATCTCGAAGAATTAGGTTTTGAAATTTCAGTTTTTGATGAATGCTTGTTTGTTAGGAGGATTGAGGGAGAGATAGAAGGTTTAATTTGCTTGTGGGTCGATGATATAGTGGTTTGTGGAGCAGACAAAAATTTCTGTAGCTGGTTTGAAAACAATATCTCTGAAAAATTTGAGATAAGCGAGATAAGTGATCTTAAATGGTTCTTAGGAATGAAAATTGATTACTCATGAAACGAAATTAGGATAAACCAGGAGAAATATGGTGAAAAATTGATATTAAGATTTAAGATGACCGAAGCAAAGCCGATAACAACCCCTCTTGGTGAAAACGAAAAACTATCAAAAAAAGATTGTCCTTTAGAAGGTAGCATAGAACAAGAAAATATGAAAAATTGTGACAATCGAGGACTTGTTGGTTGTCTAAATTACCTAGCTTTATCAAATAGACCCGACATTTGCTTTGCAGCAAATCTTTTAAGTTCTTTTGAGGAAAACCCAGGTGAAAAGCATTGGAAAGCCGGAAAAAATTGTTTTACATATCTGCTAGGAACAAAAAGTTTACCTTTAGTATATAGGAGGGATGAGGTCTTGAATCTTGTTAGCTATTCGGATGCGGACTGGGCTGGAAATATAAACAATAGGAGAAGTACATCAGGATATTGTTTTTAACTCAGTGACAACTCAGGTGTGATAAGTTGGTCTAGCAGACTTCAGCGTTGTGTATCAACTTCAACAGCCGAAGCAGAACACAATGCTGTGGTCGAAACAGTAAAAGAAGGAATTCATTTACAGGGCATACTTGGCGACTTAGGCATAATTTGTAATAGGCTTTTGGAAGTTTTCATTGATAACTAAGCTTGTATAGCCCTTAGTAAACACTCAGTAAACCACGGAAAGACGAAGCATTTTGCCATAAAACTACACTTCCTTCGAGAGATAGTTGAACGGAAGAAAGTGACATTAACTTTTTTACCAACTTCAAACATGCCTGCAGACGCATTGACGAATAATTTGCGAAGATGCAAAACAGCATTTTTCCGAGAGATTCTACTAAGAACCACCTAATTTGAAAGGCGGGGTATTGGTGATTTTTCCTAACTGAACTGGAATTGATCTTTCTTATTCGGTTCAAACTGAAATATGACTTCCCGATTTTTGTTAAAATTCGCTGGTGAAACATAGCTTTTAGTCATTGGTTCGAGCAACTTTGTGCGGGTGATTTACCATATATATTTGATCTGAATTGCTACTGGAACTATCACTCAAATCTCATTAATTCACTCCTTATTAATTAACGTTTGTCGCTGCAATAACCTTGATAACCTTGAGTTGCAAAAAAAGTTAAATATTGTTTCAATGACGAGATAAAAATTGTCTACGTTTTTATAATCGAGACTTATTTCGCAAAATAATGTGGTCACTGATTAATTACAGACGTATTAAACCTTAAATTAAGCAAGAAAGATAATCTAAAAAATATCGTTTCGATTACCATGTATAAATTATTTTTGTTTTCAGGTGTAATTTGTCAGCTCAATTTCAGAAACTACAGTCGCGGGACAAAAAAAACTAAAACTTTTTAGTATCGATCGATTAATGAACGAATTTTTAATTCAATTTTTTTAAAAATTTTTGCAGATGTCTGATGAAACTATATAAAATGAACTGTTTGATACAAAAAAAACTGTGGAGTTTGCTTACAATGATTTTTTGGGCTATTCGATTGAAGCTCATCAAAGAGGCTTTCTGGGTGTCCACATTCACTCCTATAAAAGTAAGGGATTTTAATCAAATAAACGAAAAAATTTTACAGTATTTTTCATTTAATTGCAGCTATTCAATATACAATGCTGAAGTTTTGAGCCAAGATTGATGGACCAGTGTAGAATAATCTGGGTGAATAGAGTAGAACAATGTTTTTATTGAAGAATTTGTTTGGTCATTTGATTAAAGCTTGTCAAAAAAACTTTCTGGGTGCCTAAGAAATCCCCACAAAGAGCACATTAATTCTGAGTTTTCGGGTTCAAAACAACTACGCTAGCCTCTTCAGTTTTTAATTGAGCCACATCCTATAGTATATATTAACACTATTTTGCCAAAACAATCAAGATTTGGTGATTTTCACTATAAAACCCAGATTAAACAAAAATCTTTGTGTTAGATGAGGTGACACCAATACGTCCTTTCGGCCAGTTTTTGAACGCCCCAGCTATTTCTTTATTGCCAAAATTTAAACTCTATTATAAATGAAAATTATTCATTTTTGCTTTGAGATGAAGTCAAAAACTTCAAAAGGGAAACAGTCAAAAAATTGTGTCGACTGAAAAAAAATGAAATTATCAACTGATTGGTGTTTGATGATATCATCGTTATGCGTGCACTCCCATGATTGCAATTTTCTGTCTTTATTGATGATTTCTGGGAAAATAAGAAACCAATTTCAAGCTTCTGGTTTGTGCATCTTTGTTTGTTTGAGGTTTCTGCATATTTATAAGATGAAAAACAAAAGCATAATTGAACACGAGAAAACATTAAAACCAGTTTGGAGATTTCAGCAACTAGAAAAAAAGTGTTTTTGCTCTAGGTGAAACCAGAAACTCGAAGGCCTGTGAGGATGGAACTTTGCTCAACTTGTAAGTTTAATATTGATGTTCAGCAAACTTGTTTGAAACCGTTAATTAATGCGAAAAAAAAAACAACTTAGTGTGAAAGATGAGTTTTTCACTCTTACGTTTTCTTCGAGACAATTTTTGAGAATTTTTCTGGTGTTTGAACAGTAAATTGAGTTGTATTGTAGCTTGAAATTTACTCTTTGTTTTTTTCCCACCAGTCGATTCGGAGGAGATTAAGCGCCTTGGCAAGCGGTTCCAGAAGTTGGATCTAGACAACTCCGGCACCCTCTCTCTGGACGAGTTCATGTCTCTGCCTGAGTTGAGGCAGAACCCACTGGTTCAGAGAGTGCTCGACATATTCGACAGTGACGAGAGTGGCGAAATCGACTTCAAAGGTCACTTCTTCACACTCATCTATCTCATCATTTTCGTCTTGTTTGGAACTTTTTTGAAACTCAAAAGCGCGTTTAGTACAAATGGCAAACATTTGTACCGGTTTTACAGAGAGAATATGTTCGTGAAAAACATGTGATATTGCTATTTTGAGCAATTTCCTTTGGCCTTTTCTGGCGATAAACATCACAGATGTTAAGATGAACTTTACACGTCTAAGAAGGTTTCGATGTTTTAGAATTCATCCAAGGCATGTCTCAATTCAGTGTCAAAGGAGACAAGACATCCAAACTTAAATGTAAGAATCAAATGACATTATTTATATGCCTTTAAACGTCAACATGCTTAACTAGTTTTCATGATACTCAGGCAAAAAAAAATACTCCTGAAAATCTTGTAGTTTGAAACATAGCGTTTTGACACTGCAGTTTTTGGTGAAAAAAAAAGGTTTTTTGTTAGAAAATTTAGATGACACCAAATCTTTTTAAAGAGATTCAGTCATGTTTTTTTTTGGTTAATTGTAGATCTATATAGTTTAATTCATTATCATTCGGCCAATTAATGATTCAAAATTACAACACTTGGTTTAGTTGCTGTGTAATAAACACTGAAAGCTTGTGTTTCATTTGTCAGTATTATTCATTGTTTCAGTTGCATTCAAGATCTACGACATAGACAAGGACGGGTTTATCTCCAATGGGGAATTGTTCCAGGTTCTCAAGATAATGGTGGGCAGTAATCTGAATGATGTGCAGCTGCAGCAAATAGTAGACAAAACCATCTTCTTCGCCGACCAGGACGGAGACGGAAAAATCAACTTCGACGAATTCTGCGCTGTAACTACTTAGCTTTTTATAAAAAAAATATATAAAATGCAAAATTTGCCGAGCGAACCAAAATTGGCCGAAAAAACGTTTTGGGGTCACCTCATCTAACACAAAGACTGTTTTTTGAACTGGTTTTCATTGTAGAAATCACTAAACCTTGATTTTTTAAAAATCAGTTCAGATAAATTTTGTCATTTTTCTCAACACCCGCGTTTCTCTAAGAAATTTGATTCATTTGTTAATAAATTTGTTTTTTTTAGGTCGTGGGATCTCTAGACGTTCACAAAAAGATGGTTATTGACGTCTAAATGTCAAAATAATCTACCACCAACTTATATTAGTGAATAAATTATCTATGTAACTTTCTTCAAATTATTATAGATTACTGTAGACTTGTACTTCTTTGTAGTATATATAATGTGTAAATGCAATTTCCAATTAAATATCCTATTTAAACTTAAAATTTAATTACATTAATTTCAATCCGAAGAGTGCAGAGTTGAATTAATTATTTGGAAAAAATTTGAAAGTGGAGACATTTTGAGTGATGAATCGTTTTTTTTTAGTCAGTTCAGCTCAAAATAACAAGACATTTTAGAACAAAAAATTAGAAAAAGAACCAAACAAATTACATTGTTCTGACCATTTTAAGATTGAGTAGTAACTATTGTGCTGGTATTTTTTTAAGAAGCGGTACCTCAAAAAAGTTCAGTTGTCGGAATCTGGTTGATGTTCTAAAACTAAAGCCAGACACGTTCACACAACATTAGAAAAGTTTGTGCGATAAATTAGTTCTGAAAAAAAACAGTTCAAACAGAGTCAATTATTTCAAAAAAATCAGAGAAAAAAAAGCCGTCTGTTGAAACTAAAATTCAGACCACCCGAGCTAAAAAAGTGACGTGACGTTATTTTGCTAATTGACACCTAAAAATGTTTATTTGAACTTATACTCAATTATTGTGGTCATACCATTCTGTCAGATTGTGGCTGGACTATATTGTCAGGTGTTTTTTGCCTGGTTTCAAATTTTTGTTTGGCATTCAAAATAAAAAAATTAATCTCAAATCACGAGACGATTAACAATCATAATAAAAAATCAAAGAGCGAAAAGTCGAACAGAATAGATTGACCACAATCATTTAGATAAGTCAATTCGCAGAATTGAAGAAAAACTTTTGATCAACATTTTTTTGAAATATCAAGAAGCAAAGTCAAGTCACTTATTTAGCTCGAATGGTTATTTTGCTCGCGTGATTGCGGTCCGACTAGTCAAACTGCAAAAAAAATCGAAACGATAAAAAGCGAGCAAAGCGAATGAGCAAAACGAAGTCAATGAGCAAAACCAGTTATTTCAGTTATTTAGTCGCAAGGTTATTCAGCTCGCGTGATTGTGGTTGTTTTTGAATGGATTTACGTGAGTCATTGTTGTTGGACTTTACTGTCGGATTATGATCGATCTATCAATTGTTTAGTGATTTATTCTGCAAACGCGCAATTTTTTTTGTGGCTATGTTTAATTTTCGGAATAGTTTTTGAATGGTTGTGGTTGAACTCTTTTGCCAGATTGTGGTAGAATCATCAATATTTGATTGTTTTTTTTCTGCCAGAGTTCAATTTTTTGTTTGGCAATCAGAGGCAAAAAAAACCTCGAATCACAAGACAAATAATCAAAATTGACAACCATAACAAAAAATCGAAGCACAAAAAATCAAACTGACTAGATTGATCAGAATCATTTCCGTAAATTAATTCGCAAAATGAAAAAAAAATTTTGAATAAAATTTTTGTTATTAAAAAAAAAACGAAATGAGCTAAGCGAGTGAGAAAAAAAAATCAATGTGCGAAGTGAAGTCAGTTATTTAGCTCGCGCGGTTATTCAGCTCGCGTGATTGTATTCGGAGTAGTTGAACCGCAAAAACGTAGAAGTTTTTTCCTCGAGCATCTTTTGTGTTTTTGAAATGATTTTCTTGGGTCGTTCAATTGACTGTTTGGTGATTGTTTTTGCCTGCGAACAAAAGTTTTTTGGCTATCAACCATGAAAATTTAAGGTAGTTGCAAAAGACGCAAAATCAAAAAAGAAAAATTGAAACGCTGAAAAACGAACAAAAAATTTCCAGCGCAATAATTCAAGTGAACTAATTAGATAAGCTAAAAGTATACATTTATTCTTAGAATGAATCATAATTAATAAAAAAATTTCGAAAAATTTACCATTTGAAACAATTCAGCAACAACAAACTAATCAGATGAAAAAATATTTTGAAATTTTTGACGAAAACTATCTGAGCATTACTGCCAACATGTTTTTTGGAACCACTTGTTTTTGAAATCACTTATTAATTTTTCTAATTTGTACTCGGGTTTATTTTACTTTTTTCTTTTATTTGTTTTCCACGCAAATTCAGCTGCAACAAATAATCATTGGAGAGAGTTCAGTGATATATCACAATATAACCCTTGCATTCGTGATTCGAACACTATTTTAAAATTTCTAAAAAAAAAATCGTCACTGCCAAGAAAATCCATAAAACCTTGCTCCAAGCAAGCGAGCAAGCTTAGACTAGCTTATTTTAATTGCTTCAAAGCCTGCAAAAGCTTAATTCAAAACATAAATAAAAAAATTCGTAAACTCCAAAAAACTGCAAACAAATTTGAACTATTTATTTTTTGATTGTTTTTTTTTTGATTTTTCTAGTCATTTTTACAAGAAAATTGTGTATCATTTTGATTTTTTACTTTTACTGTCGAACATGCATAATCAATTTTTTTTCGTTCAGCTCCTTTTATCTTACCACGCCAAAAATTTTACACTATTTTGACAGCTCAGTGAAAACAACGGCTATGCTTGTTTACACTAGTTTTTCGTTTGCTATTGCGTAGTTTAAAAACAAATTTAAAGCTGGTTACGTTTTTGAACCTTTTCGGTAAAAGAAACCCTAAAAATTATATGAGCTGGAGACTTAAGTATACGACAATAACACTCTCTGAATCAGGAGAAAATGATGCTGTTCAAAGCAGCCGTTTTTAAGCAAACTAAATCGATAGATATTTTTCATTTTTCTGGAAATCAGAACTTTAAAAGCCAAAGTAAAGTACAAGGTATGGTATTTAGCGTCTAGCAACGTAATAATGAGCCCAAATAGCGTGTCTCAACACAATTTGGAAAAATGTTTGCTTCGACTTAAATCGTCACTAATGCGTCAATAGCACAAAAATGAAGCGCGATAAATTAAGCACAAAAGCGCGATTCGATTGTCTGAAAGAATTCGAATTACCAATTTTTTAGCCACCACAACATTTCAAAAAAAAAATGATCGAACAAGTAATTTTTTTTGATATTCGTACTATTCACATTACTATTTGATATACAATTTGATATACAAAAATCTCTGTTCAAAGTGGATAGTTAAAGCGATAAGGAATTGTCTGACGAAAAAAAAGACCGCAACTCATTTTGATCAATACAGAGTTGAATTGACACCTTAAAACTTGGAATCTTTCCACCAAACTTCATAAAGAAAAGTTTACATCAAAAATACAGAAAAGGTATGGCTTAGGAGGAGCTAACTGATACCGAAACAGAATTTTAATTACTAAAAAAATATATTACTTCGCTGATTTTCATCCTAAAAGGCGATAATTCTGTTCTGTAATATCTGCCTCAAAAAGTTGTATTCTGCGATTTTTGGGTGAATTACAAAGGTTCCAAATTCCTTTGTAACTTGTAAAAAAAACTTGATGTGACTAATATGTGTAATTTTGTTTTCAATCTGTGCATTTAGCCTTAAAAAAACCAAACGTCCAATGTCCAAAACCAAACGTCCAAAAACCAAAACCAAACCAGACGTTCTTATTCCATACTGTAACACTGTACAAAAATTGAGCGTTGTGGGTTGCTTATAGCAAACATTTTTTGACCGCAAAGTCTAATTTGCAATAAATCAGTGTTAATTAAAAATATGAGCATTGGAACCATGGCATGACAACTGTAAGAAATCTTCTGATTTTTTTTTTGTGCGCAAAACGAGAACATTTGACCATTTCTTCTCAAATAGACATAATATGGTCAGTTTTGACCTTAACTGAACAATATTATTTTACTTAAGAGTTCAAATATGTGAAACCATATCAAAACTAAACTGGATTTATACTGAGACCCAAAAAACTAAATTAGCAAAAATATATTTAAAACACAATTATGTTGCAAGGAAAAAATTACAATTAATTGCACAAAAAAAAAATTTTACAGCAATAATTCCAGAAAGTAACAAGTTCAGCATGTTTTTTCGTGAAAACGAATCTTATGTGTAGGATAAAACTAGCTCATTTAGCTAACATAACAGTTTTGAACGCTTCTGTGTTTCCATGAAAATCTGTCACATGTAAATACTTAGCAAGATAATTAATTGATTTAAATGATAAGTGATGAAAAATCAATTTTAGCAATTTTGCATTTTTTAACTATCTACTTGATCTTTTGTTATATATGACTTTTTATCACAACTAAAACAAAATCCGAGATATTTTGTGTTTTAAGTTAGGAGAGGGGGGGGAGGGTTCTCATGCTTGAAGGACCGAATGCTTGAAAAATTTCAACCAATCAAAATCGCCAAGCGTTCTTATTGGCTAAATGCTTTTCTCACAAAATCGAAGTCAATATTAACAGAAAATGTATTAAATCAGTTAAAAATAATCAAAAATATTACAAATTGAGGGTTACAACCGCAATACTATTCAGATAATAATCAAGATTAATGAGGTAAAAATCATAAGAATTTCTCAGTCTTGAAAACTCATCTGCTTATAATCTAATTGGTCAATATTAACACTAATGGCCTGGATTTATTTTCTTACTTTTAGATTTTCGAGATTTACTTTGAGATTTTGAATACTCAATTTTGATTGGCTGAAAGTAAGCTTAAATTAATTTCAAGCATTCGGTCTTTCAAGCATGAGGGACGCCACCTCTTAAGTTGACCACTAATTCACTTTTTTGTTAGGATTTCAAGGAATTGGTCAAAGAGCCCAAACTTTGAAAAACAAGAATAAAGAATCTGAAAAATAATCGCTCATAATCTAGAATTTAAAAAATTTTAAATTTGCTTTGCGAGTTAAATAAAAAAAATTTATTAGGAATGAATTGTTGGTTTTTTTTTCATAATAATTTTGAAACATCATCTTTGCTTTAACAATTCAATTATTTTTAATTATTTTATCCAGCAAATACAAGTTTAAGTTTAAATCTCTCATAAGTTGGGCCCTTTGTTGGGCTCACCAAATCCTGTCTGACCTAATCATTTAACTTTCAAGCGTTTATCAGCCTTTTCTTGTTAGATTCGATCCGTATTGTAGAAAAACTTGTTGACATTATATTTTGTAACTGTCCCTCAGTGTCTCCGCCAATTGTAAAGCGCTTTTTTATACACTTTATTTCAAGTGCCAAGCTCCAGCTCTAAGATTGTCCAGACTTGGAAATCTGTTC